ACCTTCCCAGAGAGATGAGGATGCAGTCTATCATTTTATAAAACCCTCTATCATTGAGCAGTAAAACTGAATATTTATGTAATCCAAGGGTTAATTTAGCAAAGTTTGATGTAGTCCCATCCCTGATTCACGCTCCCATCTATGAAAGCTGTGTTCCAGCAGAAGGTCTGAGACTCAGGCTACAATATTGCAGCTCCTCATTTACATTCAGCAAGGCCATGTTCAAGTCAGAGATTGCAGGAACAAGGCTGCATTTGACTTACATTCTGATCTAATATGTACCATAATTTTCAGGTTTAAGGCATATTGATAATCTATTTTCTTTTACATCTATTCACATTTCAAACCTGACTTATTGTATTCAGCTTCTACTTGAAAATCTCTCCTCACAAATGTGTTGCCCATTGGCATAGAAACAACTATTTGTTAGAATTGGTGTACAGGAAGTAAAAATACTAAATTAGTATCTGATGGTTTAAAACAAATGGGACAGTAAGCTGACGTGGACATCATAGGGATTTAGTTTTTTTCAATCTTTCAGGAAAGCTCACCAAATATCCATGCTGCTATTTAGTGCAATTTGTGGTAAATTCCAATCTCAACTGCTGACTGTGCGATAACTGGAACAGTTTGCTCACAGCAGCAATGTCACCTGTAATGTACCAAACTAGGTAGGTGTGACCATAATAAAATTGTTCAATAATGCCAAAGAAATTGCAACTGACAATGGGTCTTCGAATCACAACTGTTACAGTATTAGGCCAGAGTATTGGCGACCTTGCACTGGAACAAAGTGTGAAGGAACATTTTCATTTCACTTAGCCAAAGCAATGTCTCACTTGGGAATGCTCGATTGCATAAAGGAATTCTAAACAACGTGTAATCTTTGCTGTGCCCATAAGAAAATAATAGAGTAGCATAGAAGGAGTCTTGTCCTGCATCTGGCTGACTCTATAGTCAACCTGGGAGTACTTGATGCAGTAAAGAGAACATTTTCATCCATATATAACCATGCTATAACTGATAACGTTGGAATACACAAAACTGACGTTGGTACCAAAAATATTCCATTCACCAAAATTATAACACACCCCAGGGAGAATATAAATGTCTCCCAAAATATATCAGAAATTTAAAAAAAAATGTGCTAGTCAGTGAGACTCACAAAGAACCATTTGTTTGATTTTACCAGTTAGAATACACTAAAGAAGACAGTTCCCTGAAGTGGTTAAATGTAACCTCTAAACTCTTTTCTATTTTTATGTGAAGACTTTTCACCCTAATTGATTGGCAGTGTCAACTTGCTAGCTTGCTACCTGCAATTTAGATCTGGAATTAGGAGAAATTGTAACAATAAAATCATCTCCCTTAACCTTGCTTCTGACTAAAAGTTAAAAACTAAATGTCATCTTCCCATCTCTCTGTGAGTGACACACACACTTTTATCGTCCCTAACTCATTTTTTTTTTTATTTTCAGTCTCTTATCTCTCTCTCTCAGTTGGCTCACACCCATGTTCCCCCATTCTCATCTCTGAACAGGGAACTTGCTGGCTGACCTTTGCTCCCCAGCACAGAGATGCAGACACCAAGATGCTTTGAACAGAATAAGGGGAAAACATAGAGGGGAATGTAAACTGATATTGATGTGTTCTGACAGTGTGGATTTGTTCTTGTTCCCAAATTGCTGATTTAGGTCAAAACTTGTTTCGCCTTTACTGCACTTTCTGATTTTGCATTTTTTTGTCATTTTATTTCTCACCAATACTGATTGCCAAGTTAAACAGCATGTCAATCATCCTCACGGATGTGGCCATTTTGATGAGTGGTCTCTCTCAGTTTGGTTTAAGGGGTTTTGGCAGAGTGGACTGCTGTCATAGTAATCACAACCTGTATTTGCACAATATCTATAAACTGGAAAAACATCCCAAGGTGTTTCACAGAATCTGATACATTTCGGAACAAGAGGAAGGAAAAAGAGTGAAAAAGGTAACAGACAGCAGTCAGAATTAATACTGGATGTTGTGCAGGAACAAAACTATGAGTACGTGCATGATGCTGACCTATAATGTGTTTATTATTCAAATGGGATGAATGACAAAATGTCATGCTGATTATATGACACTGAAAAATTTTCAGTAATACCTGTTGGATGCTCTTGCAAGTGAATCAATTATAAATAGCACCACAAAGATGGTTCTAGAATTGAATTGGTTCCCGGTGACTTGGTTAGGCGATCAGACAACTTTGAGGCAACTAATTCACTAAACTGGTGGGTTAAAGGTGACAAAATCACATAATTATTCAGAAAGAAGCCATTCAGCCCATTGTGCCTGCACTGGCTCAATTATCCTGTCTGGCTCTATTATCTAGTTTCAGTCTCCTGCCTTTTCCCCATATCCCCGCACAACATTATTATCCAAAGGCCGCCAAAGCAAATCTGGGGGAAAGTGTAGTGATGGTGGCAGAAATAAATGGAATAACCATCATTTGTTAGTCTAGCAACTAGGAATTTATCTAAACTATTCCTGGTCTTTGGCTTTAGATTTTGTGAAGGGCTAAGTTCTAGAGTTCTGAGGTTGAAATCTCCTGTGTATTAATCACAAATAATTCACTCATGTCTGCCATCTGAATTTTGTGGTGCAGAAGTAGTGTCCCTACCCCTGAACAGAGAGACCTGGGTTCAAGTCCCACCAATCCAGAGGTGTATAATAGCATTATTTTTTATTCATTCACAGGATGAGGGCTTCACTGGTTAGGCCATCATTTATTGCCCATCCCTAATTGCCTGGAGGGCAGTTAAGAGTCAACCACATTGCTGTGGGTCTGGAATCACATGTAGGCCAGACCAGGTAAGGATGGCAGTTTCCTTCCCTAAAGGACATTGTGGAACCAGATGTGTTTTCCCCTAACAATCGACAATGGGTACAAAGTCATCATTAGATTCTTAATTCCAGATATTTATTGAATTCAAGTTCCACCATCTGCACTGGCAGGATTTGAACCCGGGTCCCCAGAACACTATCTGGGTCTCTGGCTTAACAGTCCAGCAATAATACCACTAGGCCATTGCCTCCCCCCAGGTTAATTAGGAAAATAGGTTAAATTTTAAAAAATTAAAAGGTAGGGGTCCTTTGTCACTTCCATTTTTTTATTCCTAGTTTATGAATAATAGATGCTACTTTAATCGTGTGCATACATACTCAGAAAAATTAACTTCTTTCAAAGTTTCCAATAGGTCAGGGAGTAAATTCAGCACCTCATGCACAACGGTATGGACACAAACCAAAGTGACTATAGATTCAATACTAGCTCTCTGTTGAGGTTGTTAGAATACAATGACTGATTGTATCATGATATGACTGAAAGTTGGTAGACAAATGTCCAGTATGTTCATAAAAAAGAAAAGTACTGCTAATGATGAAAATCTGAATTGAAAACAAAAAGAAATCTGGAAATATGCAGTTGGTCAGGCAGCACCTGTAGAAAGGGAAGGGATATTGCTCGTCTCATCATTGCAAAAGTCGGATGAGAGGCAACAGACTTAAAAATAATACAAGTGATAAAATGCTATCAGCAGGCTAAACAAGCAGAGAGTGGGAACTCCACTCCTCAATGGGAGGTAGTCCCACTCTCGATAGGCGAGAGTCCTATCAGCACCAGAACAGAGTAGGTGGCCTGCAAGACTGCATGTTGGCCCTGGGATGATGAAAAATATGAAGTCCAAACCTAGGGAAGTCAAGAATTTTTAATGGGGAGGGATCAGCAGGTCTAGGGAGGAGGTTGGAATACAGGTATTGGGGGCCATGTGGGGAGGAATAAAAGTGGGGGAAGTGTCCCCAATGTGCACATAGGACCTCCTGAATGAAGTGAGCCCGTCATGCTTTTCCCAAGAACTTTGTTTATTGTAATGTGGCTTTCTCAAACCCGTCTGACCAACCATTTTATGGCATGGGCAGCATAATATTCATGTGGCATTGGTAACAAGTTCAATTGCCTGTTTGTTATTTATTTCAAAAGGCTGCCAATATCAATGCCTGCTCACCTGGCATTTTATGAGGACCTGGTCAGAGATGAGCAGGAAGGTGTTGGCCTAACCTAACCCATTCCCAATGCGAAAAACACAGCTGGTTTGGTGGGGAATGGTGGTGGGGGGGTGCCGAAGTGAAATGGGGAAGGGACGTGTCTAAAATCCAACCCAGAGAAACATTTCAGGCCGAGGTCATTTCATCAACACTGATTAAAGCACTTACAGCAATTTTTGCTGTTATTTTGTTATTATTCCATGGCATGTCTGTGTGTGTATGTGTGTGTGTGTGAGAGAGAGAGAGAAAGAGAGAGAGTGTGTGTGCGCAGTGTGTGTGTGTGCGGTGTGTGCGGTGTGTGAGTGAGAGTGAGAGAATGAATGGAGTATGTGAGTGAGTGTGTATGTGAGTGAGTGTGTATGTGAGTGAGTGTGTATATGAGTGAGTGTGAGAGTGAGACAGTGAGAGAGTGTGAGAGTGAGTGAGTGTGTGTGTGGTGTGTGTGTGTGTTAGAGAGAGAGAGAGAGAGTATATGTGTGTGTGAGAGAGAGAGAGAAAGAAATGTTCCTGTCAGGCTCAGATGTAAACAATGATCATCTAGATGAGATGTCCTCAAGCTGCTTTGAACCTGTACCACAGGTTACTTTATTCAGGAAAGGAGGATAGAAAATTGGGGAAAAATCAGAGAATCCATTCTGAGATCACCAAATTATGGCTGGTAGTAATGGGCAGAAAACAATTAGCAGTGCTCTGTGGATATAAAAATTGGCTGGGGCAATCCATTTTCACTTACATTCCATCGGCGGCAAAACCTAGAGGCAGCTATCCCAAAGAGAGGGCAGAATATACATTTAGTTAATAGGATACATGATTGAACATATGGATGAGCAGTGGAAAGTCAAAGCCTGGAAAATACAAAGATTTAACCTTAGCAGTTGGAAAAGATGCTGAATGAAGACAGTTTGGGCTGTCCTTACCACTCTGTGCTGGGTGGCCACCATGTTTTCCCAATCACTGTCTGCTTGGAGGTTGCTGACAACAGCAGGTAGCTCCTCAGAGTGAGGTTTGTTGATTACTAACGTATGGAGGGGCAGATGTGAGGCTGAGTGCTGATCATTGAGCTCCTCCCTTTCCCTCTCCCGTACCAATCGTTCCTGGACCATTGCTTCCTCTCCATCAGCAGAAGGAGCATACGGAGAGGTGGCTTGCTTGGAAGACATTCTGCTGTTGAATGTAAAGAAGGACACAGTTCAGTTACAACAACAAGAGTGCTTTAATATTTTAAGAAAGTCATTTTGAGTCCTTCAAAACATATACTTTACTAACTTACATTACAGTTATTGTTTTTAACATAGGAAGCACAATCAGTTCTGGAATTCTCATAAAACAGAAGGCAAAGCGGAATATTTGAGTCTTCCCACCTGACTGAAACAGAATTGTAAAACAACAGAAATGTTGGGAAATTGTTCATTCTCTCTTTCTGGTTGATGGTTCTTTGGAGCAGGAGCACCATTCTGAGACAAACAATAGGTCCTTTCAATTGTCATAAAATGTATATCACTACTATCCCAGGGTGATACTGGGCTGGATGAGCACTAAGTAATTTGGTAAACTATTCCAATAATGAGTAAACAATGCATTTTATTACATTGACAAGTCCCTGTTCACACACACACACGGCATTAGTATCAGCTGCTGGCTAGTTGAAACAGAGGAGTCCAGCCAATAAGTTTTAACTAATTTGTTGTGTAACACCTTCTGAAAGCTCCACAGAAACAAACCAGGTCTGTTCACACTTGGTCATTTTCCTTAGGCCCACCTGAGAACTGAATGCCTATCCTCCCCTAATGACAGCTGACCACGTGCCAATTCACCTTCTTCCAGTGGGAAGCCAGTAGTATTGTTGATAGCATATTGACCACCCATAAACTATTGGTTGTATGCCAATTAAACCAAGTCCTCAAAGTAAACCAGGTCTCCTGTATGTTCTATGGGACACCTGCCTGGTAGGTTCTGCTGGCTCACCAGTCAAACTAGCAGTGGATAGAGGGTGTGATTCACAGTGACTTATTCCTCTGAAATTGATGGAATGTTTGGTTGATAAATACCAAACAGAAAGCAGAGGCCAAATCTAGCCAGTCACTTTTACAGATTAGCTAGGGTCTGTTTCAACCATCCACTGACTACAACTATGAAGTAAACCTGCCATTCGCTCAACAAGTGTGAATATTAATACCATCAGCAGTGTAAAAATAAGTTATAAGGTCATTTAACGACTAGCAGTAAACCCTACTTCATTGTCCTTGGTTTCTCCAGGTAACACATCTACCACGGTTGAAAGGTTAGGTTGGAGGTCTGCTTCCAGATGTTCACGAGTCTTTTAGAACCAAGCCTTTGAATTGCATCAAAGCAATTTGGGGATCAGACCTCCAGCATTTTCTTCCTTTCTTTTTTGAAAGATCTGTCCTCCAGCCCTCCTTTTCAGCAACATTTCTCAAACAAAACATTGAATGATTGTCTGCGTCTCCCAGTACTCCACGATTGTTGCATTCAACCATATTTGCAACAGTAATTGTGGATGAGGTGAAGTAATGTTGAACTCAACATAAAAGACAATAATTAACATGCCACTAGTTTTGTATGGAAACGGTAAAAGCAATTGTAAATTTCTGATGAAAAAAGTTATCCACCTGAAATGTTGACATTGTCTCTCTCCTTTGATGCTGCCTAGTCTGCTGAGTCTTTTCAGCATTTGCTGTTTTTGGTTGCAGGAAAAATCAAAGCAGTCCACAAAAGACACTGAAGAACAATTTCTCTTTTTAGAAACAAAGACACGGTTTCTGAATGACACATATACAGTACTCACTGCCTTGAATGCATTTTAAAAACAAGCATTGTTAAAAACTATTGGTCAAAATGACCTTTGTTTTTAAACAAATCTATTAGGAAAACGTATCACCAAATTAGTATTAAATTAACTGATCTTTCAATTCAATGAAGATGTTTCTAAACAGTTTCTATGAAGTTTTTCCATTCAAATATATTAAATAGTTATGCATTCCTGCCATTTCGATCATTATGATGATGACATTGTCATTGTTATTCATGATCAGCACCAATGGGAAAGCAACAGTGGGACAAGGAATATCAACCTCACTCCATGTGCCTTTTTCCTCACAATGAGACAGGGCAGAAGGTACCCAGCAGGAGGAGGAACCACGTACGAAGCTGCCAGCAGTCTCCTCTCAGGACATTTCAATGATGGCCAGGTCCTCAATCTCCACCCTGATTTCCAACTTCAGTTCCATAGGAATTCAAGCCAGGGAGGGTGCACCTGCCTCTGGGCAGGTTACACTCAGCTTGTCTGGGTCCTCTGGATGCAAAAGCCCCCGGGTCACCCAAATTAAACTCCAAAGACCAATAGGCACCACCATAGGCAGACTTCATCCACCCCAGCTGCAGACCACAGGACTGTACCAAGACATAATAGGAGCGAAAAGAGAGGCAACACCTTCTGAGGCACTTAGGTGGTACAGTGAAACTTCATTGTAAACAGGTTCTCAAGATAGTAAACATCTGTTCATTTTCATCATCAACTATGTGAGCGATATCATTGTAGTTACGACTACAAGTGTGTAGTCCAGCCATCCTTAGAACTTTGATGTTTGATGGTCCAAGGTATGAAGTGAGCAGCCATTTTAATCTCCATAATGCACTTGCTATTTGGAACACAATTGAAGGAAACAGCAGTTGTACTTCATGCAGTGAGTCTGTCATTCTCTCAGTGTAGATGATCTGTCTAAATCTTCATAGTCCCTTCTTTGTAGGCTTTCCCATCATCCTAATTGGTTTTGTTCATCACCATGTTTCCATCCAACCCGGTTATTTAACCATTCATCTTCTGCAAAAACTCAAGGCAACACAAACATGCTGTGAACATCAAAGCAGGCGTAAAGTGAGTAAGCACTGAGACTGCAAGCATGAAGCTGTGAGATGTGTACTGGTCCAGTCCTTGAGATCGGAGCATGTCCATGAGTACAAAGTGTCCTGCTAGCAGCAATGCAATTTAAGGCGACGGCATGATCGAAAGTACAATATTGAAGTGCAGACCTATACTGTAAATGTGGTGGTGATTTACCATCAGGGTGTGGAGAGACTGGTACAAGTTCAATGCCATCAGGAACAAGTTCTGAGATGTTGGTGACTAATGTCTGTTGAGACCATCACCGGTCTTCTTTACTTTTCTTGTGTTTCCTTTGGAACTATGAGCTGAAGTTGAGAATCAAACTTAGAACTTGGAACAGAAGCTCATTTTAAAGAAAGTAAAGCAACCAAACCGATGTTTGCATATGGGATTTGGCCTGGAAAGATAATTGCAGGTTAGTTATTTTTCTGAGAACACTGCAGGCATTTTGGCATCAGTTGTTCAACGACTTGCAACAGGTTAGCTGTTGCACTGGCCAATCAAGGGAAGGCCAGTGCTGGCCAGACAACTACACAGAATATGGATAAAAGCGAAACTATGAACTGAATTGGTCATGACTGGGTTTTGGGAGTAGAAGGCTGACTACTTGGAAGCTGCGGGACTGGAAAGCTGTGTTTGAGTTTTACACTCTCTAATTTTATATTCAGTTAAAGAATTTCTACATGTTCAGAGAAGTATCCCAGTTTATGAGAAATAAGTGAATATTCCTCAGAGCCTGCTGGAACCTGTTTGCATTGACCCAGTGATTTTGGAATTCAAGCAAAATACAATTCCATGTACCTACAATGCAAAACAGCACTTAAGGATTCCCTAAGGACCCGGTACTCTTCATTGAAACAGTTATCAAACTGGCAAAGTACAACTCTTGTTACAGAGATAGTAGGAACTGCCGATGCTGGACAATCTGAGATAACAAGGTATAGAGCTGGATGAATTTTCTGAAGAAGGGTCTCCTGCTCCTCTGGTGCTGCTTGGCCTGCTGTGTTCATCCAGCTCTACACCTCGTTATCTCAAAGTACAACTCTTATTTTCTTTCTAATTTATCTCTTAGCTGCATCTATTTGGGTGGGGAGATAGAGTGTGAGTGTGTGTGTTGAAATCATATGATTAACTGAGACATTAGTTTATCTTGTTGTTTAGTTTTTCTCTACTAATGTTACAGCATTCATAACAAATTGTTAATTTCTGTTTAAGTTATAAACTTGGTGTCAGATAGCTGTATTAAAGGCTGGTTAGGAGCACTTGGGCAATTTTGAGGGTCATTGAATGTTTTAATTTCATAGTGTCACAAATCCAGTGATAGCAAATCTGATTTGGTCTGGCTTGTTATTCCCGTGCTGTAAGGTGATTAAGATGGAGGGCCAGAGAAGCAAGTGGTGAGCTGAAATAACCAAGAAACTGCTCTGACTTTCATGTCAACAATTGTCACTGTCCAGTTGCGAACGGAGAATAGGAAACTGCACATAAGTAAGGTGACATTACCTCATTATAACGGACTAATTCATGTAAATGGACACAAAAAAGCCTCTCACTGCACACTAGCGAAATTTTCATGAGTGGGTAGACTAACACTGGTTGAATGAATAGTGCAGGAGAGCTGAATGGAACAGTATCAGGCATACTGAAACTTGAGGTGACAACATAGTGCAGCTATAACAGAATGCTACCTACGTGCCAAACATTATACGTGTCAAGCTAAGCAATTTCACAACTAATGGATCGAACCTAAGCTCTGTAGTCGTGCCATATCTGGATGTGAATAGTAATGGGCAATTAAACAAATTACTGAAGGAGGAGGCTCCTAAAATATACTGAAACAGTCCATATCCAAAAGAAATAAGTCCATGACTACATCCAGGCTTGGGTTGATATGTGGCAAGTAATATTTAGGTCGCCTGAGTGCCAGACTTTGACTGTTTCCAAAAAGAAAGAAACTAACCATCTCTCCTTGATGTTAATGGAATTACTATAGCTGAATGCCCCACTCTCAACATCCTCAGGTTTACCATTGACCAGAAACTGAACTGGATTAGCTATACCAGTACTGCAGCTAAAAGAGCAAGTCAGAGTTTAGGAATTCCGCAGCCAGCAAACTTACCTCCTGACTCCCTAAAGCCTGTTCACTATCTATAAGCTACAAGCCAGGAGTGTGATGGAATAGTCTCCTGGATGAGTGCAGCTTCAACAACACTCAAGAAGCACAAAGCAGTTCATTTGAATGGCATCACAAACATT